GAACAATCAGTAGTGATGTATATTGTTGAGCATTAACCAAAAAAAAAAAAAAAGGGTGAAAGCGTTCTCGACAGAGTGGCAAAGGGAATAAACCTTTTATAATTAGTGATTTTCAACATACATTCTGAAACAACTGTAGGCCTAATACCTTAATAACGATCAACAGAATTTTCCTTGATTAATAACAAATGCTGATCAACTTACCGATTAGCTTAAAAGCACTAACTCTTACTGAAAAACTTTACTCCGTCAATTTTCTCAATCACTAACAACCTGATCCATCCATTCTAAATTCATTATTGTATTCCCAATTACTGAACTAATTGCCCCTTCATTATTAATTACTCATATTTAAAACTAATATACCAGTCTAGACGTTAGTCGAAGTTTCTCAATTATTACATCATCATCACGATTAGTAGCTTTCTCTAGCAAACATCTAAATGAAAATATTAAAGTGTAACGTACAAAAATATATTTGTTTGTGTCTCGATTGTATTTTGTGAGGCTTGTTCTCACTAGAATGTTCCCCAGTGGGTCAGTGGTAAGTTTACGGCCTTACAACGTTATAATCTTGGATTCGATTCTTCGTGGAGGATAGAGCATAGATACCTGATACGTTACTTTACGCTAAAACAAACTCTAGCCTCTCCCCTTTGATTTGGGCTTCAGTGGCTTAGCGCGCTCGGTAAGTTTGAAGGCTAAAAGAGCTGAAAACCGAATTTCGATACGCGTAGTCGCATAGCACAGATAGCACAATTTGTGGCTTTGCACTTAACGACAAACAGATAAATTCACTGGAAATTTAACTACTTTACAATCGAAAAAGAAACATGGAGGTAATCGATACTGTGAGCATGCGACCGGTATATATTTTACAAAGGAATCAATAATTTTAATGAAAAATCAAGTTTCAAGTCCAAATTTCTAATAGTACCATTTGAAGGTCATTGGCAAAGCCTGATACTTTCATATAAATAAATTACCAAAAATAAAACTAATAAATATAATTTTATTTAGAATTTAGTCATACTTTGTTAATTACAAATTAAATATTTGAGAGGACGCTTGAATCACTGAGTGGCGTGATATTATGCTGTGAGTCTGTGTTTAAAAGGTGATGGTTGTAGAACATTTGGATTACTGGAGTAAGTATTGACACTTATATGTGCTTAGGTGAGAATAAACAGATTTAAAATGATGATTCATCAGATTTGCACGAAAAGTAGTAATACAGAAAATAAGTCGTTACTGATTCAGCACAGTAACAGGTGAGGTAGTGACCTAACTCGAATATCGTGCTGGTGGTGGCTACTCAGGCTAGTTTATAACGGTAACATAGCTAGGCTATTACTATTAGTAGTTGTACTGCGAGTACTATTCAGATTCTAATTCTTAAAATGAGTAATATCTAGCGTTATGGCAAGCATTTACAAAGAACCTGACCTGCCTAACGTTAAATTGTGATTAGTGTATTAGAAGTTACTCTTTAAATACTAGTTACTGAGTGTGGGTACATACTGTATAAATCACACCCACTTTATTCTACAAATTGTTTTTACGTCGGTCATATATACATATTAGTTTACTACATCGGAATTTGGCGTGAAATCTAGGTATTAAAGGAGTGTAACTGAAAGAAGCCAGTTCAACATTTGTTGGTTGTGTTTGTGCAACTTCATGGGGAAAGTAAATGATGAATATGTACTGTGTAGCTCTCCAGTGGCTCAGCGGTATGTCTTTAGGCTTATAATGGTAAAAACCAGGTTTTGATATTCATAATGGGCACAGCACAGATAGTCTGTGGTGGAGCTTTGTGTTCAACAATATACAGTGTATATGAATAAGGGATACTGAGCATGCTTTTTAGGCTAAATGTAATAATAGACCACCAGTTATTAGAGATAGAGAGAGAGATAACTAGTGGAGGGTAAATTCAATAAAAAATGCTGTATTAAAGCTAACATGAGCACTGATGTGAAAGTAAAATGACCCAGACAGGTTATCGGTAAAGATTATTTTATACGCAATATAACGTAAGCTTTGATTTGAAAGTAGTGACTTGATCAGGTTCTTAATAAAGATTATCTTATACTCCATCTAACATAAGCTCTGATGGAAAGTGACCTGAACAAGTTATCAGTAAAGATTATTTTATACTAAGCTCTGATGTGAAAGTGACCTGAACAAGTTATCAGTAAAGATTATTTTATACTAAGTACTGATGTGACATTAGTGACCTGAACCGGTTATCAGTAAAGATTATTTTATACTAAGCTCTGATGTGAAAGTGACCTGAACAGGTTATCAGTAAAGATTATAGTATACTAAGCTCTGATGTGAAAGTGACCTGATCAGGTTATCGGATCAGAGCTTAGTATAAAATAATCTTTAGTAAGGATAAAACTCTACAAACTTCTGCATAAATTAAAATATAAGATATTATTAACATTCACAGTATTAGCACTAACAACATCATTTGTCTTTCACATCAGAGCTTAGTATAAAATAATCTTTACCGATAACCTGATCAGATCACTTTCACATCAGAACTTAGTATAAAATTATCTTTACTGATAACCGGTTCAGGTCACTAATGTCACATCAGAGCTTAGTATAAAATAATCTTTACTGATAACTGGATCAGGTCACTAATGTCACATTTCCAGTTTTTTCAAAGGACTATGCACTGTTATTTTTTTACATTCTAAACTGTGTCAGAACAAGAGAATCCAATTCAATTGTAAGTTGTTGTTTTATATTTATGTATTTTCAAAGGATTCTTATAATTTGTATTTTCTTACCTTGAGAAACATTCCAGAACCTGAACTTAGATTATAGTTCTATATAATTTTGTATAGTTTTCAAATTTTTATAAAGATTATACTGAATTTGTCCTTTTTTAGTGTGTTCATACAGCAAGATGAATTTTGTTCTGCATACAATGACCCCAAAATGCTGGAGTCTCAAAAGTACATAAGAATGGTGGACGTTGTGCAGTATCTATAGGTCAAGAAAAGAAAAATGTTTGAAAAAATCAATTTTAGATGGCTGGTAGTAACTTCAACCATGAATGTGTTCAAAAAAGCTGTTTTATACAACTGTTATCTGTGATCCAGTTTTATATTTTTTATAATTATATGTTGATGCCATCCATGGTAATGGTGGTAGCTTTACGTTATCGATCTTTCTTTCTGGGAATTGTACTTACTTCTTTCGTCTGGGCTGTGATAGTTTATTTATATTCTGATCTTGGACAAAGTGAAAGGCCAAAAATTTCATTGTCAAGGCAACAATTTAAAAAGAGGTTGAAGCCTCGTTATGAAAATCTCATGTTTGAGAACCACCATGATAAAATCAACCTTTCAAGTGAAGAAAGGCATTCTCAAAAAAACAAAGACTTGCAGATAGTAGGTATGATTGGTAGTGTTGGTAGCTTGAAATCAGGAGACTTGCTGCAGCTTGGTGTTGTCAGGAATTGGGAAGATCAGCAGGTTAAAGAAGAAGGCCATCGTCATCATGCTTTCAATCTTCTCATCAGTAATCGTCTTGGTTACCACAGGGATGTACCAGATACAAGGCATTTTTTGTAAGTAATGTCTGTATTTGTTTGTAAAGTCCAGTGGTGTAATGTATATGAAATGTAGAACATGTGTAACAAACTTACAGTGAAAGTTTTTGTAAGTAATGTCTGTATTTGTTTGTAAAGTCCAGTGGTGTAATGTATATGAAATGTAGAACATGTGTAACAAACTTGCAGTGAAAGTTTTTGTAAGTAATGTCTGTATTTGTTTGTAATGTCCAGTGGTGTAATGTATATGAAATGTAGAACATGTGTAACAAACTTACAGTGAAAGTTTTTGCAAGTTATATTAAATAATAAAACAAATATCCAAGTTCTAATTAAAAGTTGTATTTTTAATTTGTTTTTTTGCAGATGTAAATCCAAGCGATATTCATCAACTCTTCCTTCTGCTAGTGTTATAATATGTTTTTACAATGAGGCATTGTCTACACTACTACGTACAGTCCACAGTGTACTTGATAGGTCTCCACCAGATCTTCTTCATGAAGTTATCCTTCTCGATGATAACAGTAGTGATAGTAAGACATTCTTGTTTATCACCTTTTTTTAGGTAATATTAAGTAAAGGAAAAGATCAAGAGTAAGAGGCTGTTTTTTTAACACAGTAATCGTAAGACATTATTGTTAACACAGTAATCGTAAGACATTATTGTTAACACAGTATGTACTAATAAGACATTATTGTTAACACAGTAATCGTAAGACATTATTGTTAACACAGTATGTACTAATAAGACATTATTGTTAACACAGTATGTACTAATATGACATTATTATTAACACAGTATGTACTAATAAGACATTATTGTTAACACAGTATATACTAATAAGACATTGTTAACGCAGTAT